CCGCAGGGATACACCGAGGCATTATTGGCGCAATGGCCGCAGGGATACACCGAGGCATTATTGGCGCAAAGGCCGCAGGGATACACCGAGGCATTGATGTCCCAAAGGCCGCAGGGATACACCGAGGCGTTAATTCCGGGATACACCGCGGCTTTATTGTATCAAAGGCTGCCGGGATTCACCTAACCGCGGTGCACGGCACGCCGGGATACACAGAGGCAGAAGCCGTCACTGCTCTCCCCGCTCCGCCAGCGCCTGGGACAGCTCGGAGGGGGCAAAGACCCCCCACTCTGTGATGATGCCCCCAGTGATGAGTTCATGCGGTGTGACGTCAAAGGATGGGTTCCACACGTCCACCTCTGCAGGAGGAGAAGGAGGGGAGGTACACTGGGTTAGAGGGGCTCTGGCAGCGACCCCAGGCAGGGGTGGGCCCTCCCTGACCCAAGTGGGAGCGCTCGACCTCACACAGGACCCCCTGACCCATCAGGGAACCCCAAACCCTGCACACCATCCCTCTATGGGACCTACCCTGGGCTCTGGGACACTCTGACCCACCCAAAAGGACACCCCCGACCCCCCTCCCAGGCATGGGACCCACCAGGGTCAGCCAGGAGGACTCCCCCGAGGTGGGTGAGCTCTGTTCCCGGCCGCTCCTCGATGGGGATCAGGCGCCCCGAGGCCAGCGTGAGGTCACAGGTGGTGCTTGGGGCGGCCACGTAGAAAGGGATCCCCATGTGCCGCGCAGCCACCGCCAGCTGGAATGTCCCGATCTTGTTGGCCACGTCCCCGTTGGCAGCCACGCGGTCAGCGCCCACCACCACGGCTGGGGACAGAGCAGGGTCAGTGGGACCTGTTCGGCGTCACCCGTGTCCCCCATCACATCCCCTCCTTACGCCCCCCTCTTTGTCCCCAAGTCTTTTCCCATGTCACCAGCCTCCGCCACCCATGCCGCGTCCCTCCTCCTTGTCCCCACCCTGTCCCGCGTTCCCTTCCCATCCCCTTGTCCCTGTCGCCGTGCTGTGTCACCTCCCGCCCCTCACCCTGCACTCCCCGCTCCCTCATGGCGGCGGCGGCCGCGCTGTCGGCGATCAGCGTGACAGGGACGCCGTCGTGGCGCAGCTCGAGGGCCGAGAGCCGCGAGCCCTGGTTGTAGGGTCGGGTCTCGGTGCAGAACACGCGTGACAGGGACCCGCGCTGGTGCAACGCCCGCACGACACCTGGGGACACGCGGGACACGTCAGGGACGCCGCGACAGGGACATCGCCCCCCGCGATGGGGAGCCCCCGTCGCGATAGAGACCCCCGCGATAGAGATGTCTGGAAAACCCATGGGGGGGAAAACGGGGGCGCTGAGCCCCCCAGTGCTTCCCCCAGTGCCCAGGGCAGGATCCCCGGTGCCCGCCCCCCCCGGTGCCCCCATACCCAGGGCGGTGCCGTAGCCCGCTGTCGCCAGGGTCCCGGTGTTGCAGTGGGTCAGGAGGGTGACGGGACCGCCCCCCGGGACCCTCCCCAGGATGTGACTCGCCCCGTGCGCCCCAATGTTCCGGTTGTCCCTCCGGTCCTTCTCCAGGAGCCCCTCGATGTATTCAATGATGCTGGGGAGGGGGAAAATGGGGGTGTGGCCCCCCCAGTCCTAACCCCAAACCCACCCCAGGAGATCCCGAGATCCCCCTCAATGCCCAACCTCCCCCCCCCAGCGGCACCTGGAACCCCAAATCCACCCCAGGAGCATCTCAGGACCCCGAATCCCCAAATGGAGGACTCCGGGACCCCCCCTCTACACCCCAAATCCACCCTAGGGAACCACCTGACACCTCTCCCATCCCCAAACTCCCTCAGGGGATCCCCAATACTGACCTCAACACCCTTCACACACCTCCCAGCCCTCCCCCCAAATTCCCCTCGTCCCCACCCCCGTTACCTCTCTCGCAGCTGCTGGGGGGTGACCCCGGGGGTCTCCACCCGCTGCCGGACAAACGCCCGGAGCCGCTCGGCCTCGCGGCCCAGGTTGGCGGCCGTGGGGCGGGCGGTGAGCAGGAACCCCAATTTCTGCCCCACGAACTCCTCCAGGGCTCCCAAATCCTCGGAGGGCCCCGCGCCCCCCGCCAGCTCCACGGCCAGGCTCAGGCAGCCCAGCAGGGCGATGGCCGGAGCCCCCCGCACCTGGGGGGGCACAGAACAGCCCCTGAGCCCCCCGCCCCGGGTGCATTTGGGGGTTCCCCCAAACAAGGGGGTGGTTGGGAAGGAAGGCGCGGGGGTTTTGGGGACGATTGGGGGTGAGGACCGGGGGCTCAGGGGGCATTAGGGGCACTGGGGGAGGGTCTCCCCTCACCTCCATGTCGCGGATCGCCCCCCAGGCTCGCTCCACGCCCCCCACCCGCTCGTAGCGGAGCTGCCCCGGCAGCAGCCGCTGGTTCAGAACCTCGAGGGAGCCGCGCCGGTACCGCAGCGACTCGAGCGCCATCGCGACAGCGCGACAGACGGACGCACACGGCGAGAGACAGAAGGACGGACGGACAAACACCGCCCCTTCCGCGGGCAGCGCCCGCCCCAACCGGGACCGCCCAGGGGCGGCACGGGAGCACCGGAGAGCGGGAGGGACACGCGACAGTCGTGACAGGCCACCGACAGCTTTTAATTTCGAGCTGCTCGGGGCTATAAATTACAGGAGGGGCTTTCTGGAGGGGAGGGGGGAAGGGGGCTCGGCGACCCCCACCCCAGACCAGCCTGGAGGGGAAGGGGGGGGGGGGTCCGGCCCCCCAAAAACCCCGCTCAGGGGCTGTCGGAGCCGGAGTCCGAGTAGTCGGCGACAAGGGACGGGGCGGGGGCAGCAGCGGGGGGGTCCGGGGTGGCCCCCCCAGCCTGGGGGGCGGCAGCGGGGGGGTCCGGCCCGGCCTCGGGGGTCTCCCGGGGCACCGGGGGCGGCCCCTCCGCTCCTCCGCCCTCCTCCCCCGCCCGCCGCCTCACGATGCCGAGCCCGGCCGGGGTCGGGGGTGGTCCCGGGGCTGCCCTCGGCGCTCGTGCCGCCCCCAGACCCAATTTCTGCAGGGCACCCCCCGCGGCCGGTCGGGCCGTGCCGGCGGAGAACCAGGAGCGCTGGGAGATCTCGGAGCGCTTCAGCCGCTGCCTCTCCTCGTAGGCTGTTGGGGACAGCGCCGGGCTGGGTCAGGGCAGGACCGGCCTCGAACCCCCCCGGGACCCCTCCCCGAACCCCACCCTGAACCCCGGTACGCACAGTCGGGGGCGCGCAGGCTGAGCAGGGCGGCGAGGCGCCGATCCTCCTCCTCCTCCCGGAGCAGAGGGATGCTGAGCCCGGCCCGCGCCCGCAGCGCCGCCGCCTCCTCCTCCTCCTCCCGCAGCGTCTTCTTCTCCTCCTGGGAGGGGGGGAAAAATGGGGCTGGGGGAGCGGCCCGGAGACCCCCGGGGGTCCCGGAGACTCCTGAGCAGGCAGGAGCCCCTCGTTGGGCTTTCAGGAGCTTCCCCGGTGGGTTTTCGGGGGTCCCGGAGTCCCTGGTGGGTATCTAGGGGGGGGGGCCCAGTGAAAATTCGGGGGTCCCGGAGCCCCTCACTGACCCGGAAGCGCCTCCTCAGGCGGCTGTTGAGGCCAAAATCGTCTTTCCAGGCGTCCTGGGCCTCCTGCAGGCGTGTCAGGGTGGGGGTGGCGCGCTCCAGGACGCCCTTGTCCGTCACCCCGTGCTCCAGCCGGAACATGGGATCCACGGCCAGGCGCTCCCGCTGCTCCGGGGCTGCGGGGACACCGTTACTGGGGGCACTGGGACGGGCTGGGGGAACTGGGACGGATTGGGGACACTGTCCCCGTGTCCCAGCGCTCGTCCTTGTGCCAGGAGCGGCTCCCTGGGGGCACTGGGAGCCACTGGGAGGGACTGGGATGGCCGGGACAGGGGGTGACCGTGACCCTGGAGCTGAGCGGGGTCACTGGGCCATACTGGGACTCACTGGTGGGCAGGACCTGGGCGCTGTCCCCGGGGTCCCAGCGCTCCTCCTTGCGCCGGGCCCCGCTGACGATGACGTAGTCGCAGTTCCCGGGGTCCGTCTGCAGCTCGATGTAGTTCACACACAGGTGACACTTCATCCTGAACCTGGAGTGGGGCGTGCACAAGGGTCAGGGAGTCCCCAGAATGTCCCCAGGTGTCCCCACAGGTGAGGGAGGGGCTGTGACTCACCTGTACACAGGGGTGGTGTAGTAGGTCCCCACCTTCTTCTTCTCCGCGTTGTACCTGACACCTGTGGGGAGGTGGAGGGGGTGGGGGGGTGAAACAACCGCCCACGCAGATTTGAGGGCCCCTTTGGGACGCCCCCAAAAACGGGGGCCCCTTTGGGACCCGCCCAAAACTCCCCAGAGCAGAGGTGCCACTCACCCATCCCGATGTGGTTCTGGCACCCGTCGCACCAAATGTTAAAGGGCATCTCAAACCTGGGGGCCGGGGGGGGGTTTGGGGGTGTCAGTGCTGCCCCCGGGATGGGACAAGGCACATTTTGGGGTGTCCCCCCACCTCACCTGATGACGAGGATGCCCTGGGAGAGCTTCCGGGCGCGCTCCCGCAGGGGGTGGCTGTGGTGGTACTTGTTGAGGGAGCCATGCTGGGGGGGAAAGGGGGAGTCAGGCATGGGGCCGGCCCCCCAAAATCCCCACACACCCTTCCAGCCCCCCAGAACTCCACTTCCAGCTGCCCAAACCCTTCCTGCCACCCCCAGCCCCCCAAAACCTCACCCTCCCCACAACCTGGCATTCTTCCAGCCCCTCAATCCCCCTGCCAGCCCCCCCAAAACCCCTGCCCAGCACCCTGAAACCCCTTGACAATGCCCAAACCCCCCCCTCCCCAAGCTCCCCAAGACCCCAGCCCACCTTGGCAGGGTCGAAGTCGGGTGGGTAGTACTTGTTGGTGCCCTTGCGCTCGCCCTGAGGGGAAATTGGGTGACCACAGAGTGACCACGGTGTGACCACAGAGTGACCACAGAGTGACCACGGCGCAGCTGAGGTGGCCCCGTCCTCACTCACCATGGCCGAGGGTCTCTGGAGCCGTGGGACTGGCACAGGCAGGACCTGGGGGAGATGAGGAGGTCACTGGGGAGCCCCTGGCCCGGACTAGGAGGCGTTAATGGTCACCAATCCGTACTGGGACAGGAGCACCGGTGTGGGGACAACAGTCACTGGTTTTGTACTGGGACGGGGATCAGGGGACAGCAGCACCCAGCACAGCCCAGCACACGGCGAGTGGTCACTGGGCTACACCGCGACAGGCCCCGGAACAGTTTGGGGTCACTGGTTCCTACTGGGGATCAGCTGCCCCCCAGTTTGGGGTCACCGGGCTGTACTGGGACCGGCCCCCGGCTCCAGTATGGGGTCCCTGTTCTGTACCGGGCTGTACCTGTCAGTACCGGTCTGTACGGCGACACCTGTGCTGTACCGGGGTCCCCGGGCTGTACCGGGGTCCCTGGGCT